TTTCTTCCGTATTTTCTTAACCATAGTGTCCCTGGCGGCTGCAGCCACAGGGAGGACAGGAGTCCCAGGGTTCACCTCACTTCTGCAATGTTTTGCTCCTAATTTTGTATCTCTCCTGGAAAGTGCCTCTGATCTGTTCCCCTCTGGTGTTTGCCTTCCTGATTTTCCTTGTTACTATGTAACATCAACACCCACCCCTTTCCCCAGCTCTGCTTTCCTTTCAGTGCACTTCTGACCAGTACCGTTCCCCAGCTCACCGCACCACCATGTTAGTCTTGAACCTGTTCACTTACATAGATCTTGTTTAGCCGAATACATTATAAACTTCTCAGGGAAAAAGCCCGTTTCTTTACCATTACATCCATTGCCGGAGCCCTTATGATTTGCCTTCTGTTTTCTGGCAAGTACCTTACTCCTTCATATAGAATATATGTAATTGCAAATGTGAAATGTAACATTGATTTAATAACTGCTTTGCAGGAGTAGAGAGAAGAGTACCATAAACATACGAGTCGAGTATGAGATGCATCCTGCTTGTAACAATGTTCAAATATTCTAAACACACAGGGACACACACACACATGCACATGCGCAGAGCACATGTTGCAAGTGAGGGAATGCAGAACCCACTGGCACTCCCATCTCACAAGTTTGCTGATTTATACTGGCCACTGTGGGATCATTTATTCTGGTTTTCTTAAATTCAGTCCCATTAGTATTTTTCCAATGTGGTATGTCTGTGTGACATGTCACTGGCACAGAGAGGGACAGTTTCCGATGTTGGGCATCTGTGCCTGTGGGAATGGTTACAGTCGGGTGGTGACTTCGCAGAGCGAAGCCTGTCATCTCTGGGAGCTCGTGCCCATTCCCGGAGCTCCTGGAACATAGGCCGCCCCCTCCGGCCCCCCGGCCCCTAGTGTGTCACTTGCCTTTGACCAAATCAGGACATTCTCTGTGCAGTTGTCAGACTGTTGTTCCTCCCTTCTCTTCTAGAAACCTCAGTTTCAATAAAACTTCCTCAAGGAAGCCGGGGTCCAGTTCTTAATTACACCTTTGCCTGGCACCGCCTCCTATGTCACAGTCCATTCTGTAGTTATTTACGGAGCAACAGATATAGGCCACGCCCTGTTGTAGGCACTGGCGGAAGATCTGTGAACAAATCAGGAACAGATCTGGTCTACCTGGAGCTTACCTTCCAGCAGAAGAGTGGAGGTGCGCATTGAGCGAAAGACCTCCTTTGTGCACTTTATGTATCATGCCTAACACCTTCAGTACGCTTACGTGATGGCTGTTATCCTCCTAGTTATTTCACGAGCAGAAATGCAGGCTTAGGCTGAGTAGTGCGTCGCGGCTCACATAGCTGGCAGGGGGCAAGCAGGGCCAGGCAGTCTGGAGCCCACATTCTCTGCTTATTGCGCTCTGCCTTGATACATACTTGCTTTGGGCACCAGTGAGTGAATTTCCCAGGTGCTTTCTGAGCTCCCGACTTTCTTCTAGATTCTTGACCAACTGCATAATTCATGGCCTGGAGTGACAGGTTCATCATTTAGGCAAAGTAATTCTTGGGAAATTCACAACTGTTGTATCTCTGTATGGCCACGGTGTTCTTATGTCTGAATCCGTATCTTCACAAAGAACGTGGGAAAGGCCCAACTTTTAAACTGTTTTACCTTCTCTGGGTTTTCATCCACTGTTTCTGTTAGTGTCAGGCCATAAGAAAGACTGTTGGGGCTTTTGGGACTACTTTGGAAGCCGGACAAAATGTCCAAGGTAAAAGCCAGTGGGTAAAGTGAAAAAAAAGGAATCCAGATTGATTTTGGAAATGAAAGAATCCTTAAAGCCATCGACTATAAGGAAAGAACAGAACCTGGAGTCATGGAAGCCTTCTTCCACCGCTGAGCTGGATGGCAGAGTTTCTTTTCTTGTATTTAATTTTTTTTTAACGTTTTTATTTTTGAGAGACAGAGTGCGAGTCGGGGAGGGGCAGAGAGAGAGGGAGACACAGAATCCTAAGCGGGCTCCAGGTTCCGAGCTATCAGCACAGAGCCCAACATTGGGCTCGAACTCATGAAGCATGAGATCATGACCTGAGCCGAAGTTGGAAGCTGAACCCTCTGAGCCGCCCAGGCGCCCCTGGATGGTGGAGCTCCTGATGAACTTACGATGCACGGACAGTAATGAGAACCTGGTTGCACAGCTGTCTTTGAGAGGCAATGTACTGGGATTACACTTATGCTTTTTTTTTTTTTGGAAAAAAAAAAAATTCAGCACCGAGTTAGCCTAGAATGAACAGTGTCCTGCCCAATATTAACAACAACGAATTGGAAATTCTGATTCTAGCCAACTTTACTTAGCGAACGTGAACAAGAGTCCCGACCTCATGTGAAATAAACGGCTCTGGTTTCATGGCGTTTTCTAGGCCCTTGGTGCCTTGGACTTCGTGGAACTGGATTTTCAGGAGCCCTCTGTTTTTGTTTCCACAGGATGTGTGAAACTGGGGAAGGGCTGTTTATCTTTCAAACGCGAGATGGGGAGGCCATCTACCAGAAAGTCCACTCTGCTGCCTTGGCGATAGCTGAACAGCACGAGCGCTTGCTACAGAGCGTGAAAAATTCAATGGTATGTATACTCCTGTGGAGTGCAATCCTAGAATATTTATGCTGAAAAACATGGCCAGCACTGTCTGAGCAGGTGGCTTACTCCTGTACTCACCCGTGTATTACTTGGATTAAATGCCATCCTTGCAAAGCCTGAAGAGCCAGCTGGTAACATAGTAACCGTGCATCCCTGCGTGTCTGCTTTGTGCCTCAGTTAGTATTACATGTGTGTGTCCTAATCAGTTTGGGCTCCTACGGCAAATACCATAGGACCGGCTGGCTTCTAAACAACAGAAATTAATTTATTTCTCACTGATAGCTTGATCAAGGTGCCAGCCTATCTGTGTCCAGTGGCACTGACTTCCTGATCCATAGGCGATGGTCTTTTCTGTGTCTCACTGATGGAAGGAGCGAGGGATCTCTCTGGGGTCTCTTTTATAATCCCAATTGTGAGGCCTCGCCCCTCATGCCCTGATCGCCTCCCAAAGGCCCTACCTCCTAACACCATCACCTGGGGGGTTAAGATTCCAATATATGAATTTGGGGAGGGGATATAATCATTAGTCTGTTGCAGTGAGTATGTTCATCAGAATCAATTTGGATGCATATGGACATCTACAGACACATCTGTGTAGATTATCTGGCTGTAGGTATAAATTTAAAGCAGTACCAGATGGTATAATTTCAACAGGGGCCAGAGAGAAGAGGGCTGAAGGGAAACGGGGGGTGAAACGTCAAAAGCCCCAAACCAGAAGACCGTTGACGTGCGTGCGACTGTGGGCTCCATGTAGGACATCTCTTGTTTTTTTCCAGAGAAGTCTAGGATTTGAGTCTGTATGTAATATCTTGTTGTTTGTAACTGTTGGAAATTGATTCCAGTTGAAACCAACAACGAAACGGTAATTCTTTGTGGGCCACAGGAAACCTGTCCGGAGACTCCATTCTTCCCAGAGCCATGCATCAACCATGTCTGGTTGATTAGCCTTCATAGACATTGATATATTAAGATACCACAAACACGAATACACGTAGAGTGTGTGTGGAAACACCTGCTCTGTTCAGTGCATCGTGTTAGGAACTGTGACTCGTACAGAGAATTACGATTCATGAATTTCTTCTTTGAGAAGAAGAAATTCACAAAATCTTAATGCACAAGAGTTAAATAATACACGTCATACATCGTGGCTGCAAACACATGCCTAGAGCTTCGCATCTGGAAGGAAATCTGCAAAACCAAAAGGAACTGGGTTAGTGTGGTAGGATTAGGGTAGTTTCAAAATTTATGATTTAAACATGTGAGGTGGTTGGATTTAAAGAGGGGGGAAAGCATACCAGTAAGATGATCTTTCCCAAAGCAGCCTCAGATCATTCCCAAATGACTTGTTCATGCAGTGGTCTGGGATTTTAGAGCAGAGATCAGCAAAACTTTCGGTAAGGGGACAGCTGGTAATACTTGGGGCTTTGTGAACCAAGATGGTCTCTGTTGCAACCACTTAATTCTGTCATTGTAATTTAGAAGCAGCCGTAGGTAAAAACATTCTCAAGGGGCGTAGGTCTGTCGCAAAGAAACTTTATTAATGGACACTGAAATTCACATTTCATGTAATTTTCACAAATCATGAAATACTCTTCTCTTGATTTTTTTTTCCCTATTTCAAAATATTCTTTTTTTTTTTTAATTTTTTTTAACGTTTATTTATTTTTGAGACAGAGCATGAACGGGGGAGGGGCAGAGAGAGAGGGAGACACAGAATCGGAAGCAGGCTCCAGGCTCCGAGCCATCAGCCCAGAGCCCGACGCGGGGCTCGAACTCACGGACCGCGAGATCATGACCTGAGCTGAAGTCGGATGCTCAACCGACTGAGCCACCCAGGCGCCCCTCAAAATATTCTTTTTGAACTAATGCAGTCTCGGTATCCATTTCCCCATATGCTTACCAATTCTAGATATTGCAATAAAGATAGGTAAATGAAAGGATGGATGAATGGATGGATAGTTGTAAAGTAGTATTTGGGACGCCTTGGTGGCACAGTCAGTTGAGCGTCTGACTTCAGCCCAGGTCAGGATCTCGCAGTTCATGAGTTTGAGCCCCACGTCAGGCTCTGTGCTGCCAGCTCGCAGCCTGGAGCCTCTTCAGATTCTGTGTCTCCCTCCCTCTCTGCCCCTCCCCAGCTCATGCACTCTCTCTCCCTCTCTCTCAAAACTAAATAAAAACATTAAAAAAAAAATAAAGTAGAATTCAAGTCACTTGGAACTTTATAGGGCAACATGCCATTGCTTTAAAGTTGTATAGCTATCCCATTAGATGCCTTTAAACATCTGAAGAAGTTTTTCCAAGATTACCTTATTGGTAAAGCCATCAATTAGCATAAATTGTTTTGTGCTTGAAAGGCAGGTTCTTCATGCATATGTTTTTCCATTTACAACCTCCTCATTACTTCCACTAAAAATTAATCAGGAATATGAGTAATCCGTTCAAATCACCCCTTTGCAAATTTAACTGGCAAATAATGTTGTTTGCTCTTAATTTGCTGCCTGCTTAAAGAGTTCCATAAAATGAGTGTGATTTTTAAGCAACAGCATCCTGTTTTCGATGGAAATGAGTAAGCTTCACAATGGGATCTGAATCTCAAGGAGGTTAAACGGGGATTAAGAAATGCTTAGAATCTGTGTACTTAAATCAATCCCTGATTTGGGGAGAAAACAGATGCCACAGGACAACGAAGCAAATAAAGACAACGCTGCCTGCCCACCCTCCCCGGGTTCCATTTCTGCCCTTCCTGGTAACTGGTAATGGATCCACATAGATCTGGATCCACATATCGTCAACGAGGAATTGCATGCATACCACTACTGGCTGGCTGGCTTCTCTGAGATAGTCAAGGTCATAAATGGAGAAGGGGGTGATGCTAACTGCTGGGCTTAGTCTCATTATTAGTTCGCCCAAACCCACCGTTGGCTGCTTCTGGTGGAAAACTCCCAAGACTGCCTCCACAGACAGGTGCTTTACCACGGGACCTGTGCCGGCTTCAAGTTGTAGCCTTTGGTGAATTGGTTTGGACCAGACTTGGGACCTGAATCCCAGCAGGTCACCAAGAGGAAGCTTGTGGGCCCAATAACAGCAAGGACAGCAGCAATCATAGCAGTAGGGATAGGCTGAATAATGGCTCCAAAGATGTCACATCCTAATCCCTGGAACCTGTGAATGTGATTGTACGTGGCAAAAGGGACTTTGCAGATGTGATCAAGTTAAGGCTCCTGAGATGGGGAGATTATCCGAGATCATCCAGGTAGACCCGGTGTCATCCCAAGGGTCCTCGTGGGAGGGAAACAGGAGGAAATAGAGTCGGAAGGTGATGTGATAGTGGGAGCAGAGGGAGAGAGAGATTTGGTTTGTGTGCTGATGGCTTTGAAGATGGAAGAGAGACATAGGTGACCCAAAGGATGTGGGTGCCCCTGGAGGCTGCAAAGACAAAGAGACAGATTCTGCCCCGGAACCTCCAGAAGGACCCAGATTGGCCAACACCTGGAGTTTAGCTTGGTGAACTGACTTTGGGCATTTGGTTTCCAGAGCTGTAAGAAGACAGATTTATGTTGTTTTAAGCCACTGAGTCATGGTAACTTGTTACAACAGCCATAGGAAACTAGTAAGTGATGATATCAATAATAATAAAAATATATCCTGGCTTTACTGTGTAACAAGCAGTATTTTAAGGACTTCCTAACCCTACGACCACTGCTGTATGGAAGGCCAAGGCCACCAGCTTGGAAGCTGGAATTTGGAACCAGTATCCTGGTATAGTCCCCACTCTTCTCCGCATCTCCCAACGAAGCCCCCAGACCTATTTTCTTTGTCCTGCGTGAGATTAACTTACCACTATTCTCAAAATCCCAACTTCGTGGCCAACCTTTAAAAACCGGAGAGGTTTCAAATAAAACTCAGCTTTCTGTGGTATCTTGAAGAGTGAGGAGGTCTGACAGCACCCATGTTACGTCCCCATGCAGCAGTAACGATCAGATGCACCCAGTACTCTCCGCCATCCCTGGGCAGATTGGGCATCTTCACTTCCCCACGGTCCCTACCTCTCCTGTGGTTCCTCTCAGCAAGTGGTTCTTCTCTGAGCACCGGCTGCCCGCGCTGTGGCCAATCGATGTCTTGCCTGGATTACTCCATGTGTTCGTTTTCAACTGCTGAGCAGCAAAGTACCACCAACAATGCACTGTAACACAACACACATTTATTATCTCATAGTTGCTGTGGGTCAGGAGTGTTGGCGTGGCTTATGGGCCCCCAGCTTCAGTTTCTCACAAGGCTGAGATGCTTCAGGCTCATTAGAATGGGGAAGGATCCACTCACAAGCTCACGTGGTTATTGGGGGGGTTTAGTTTTGTGTGGCGGTAGGATGGAGGGCCTCAGTCTGTTGCTGGCGGTGGCTTGGGGGCCACCCTCAGCTCTTTACTGCACGGGCCTCTCCAACACAGCCTGTCTTCACCAAAGCCAGCAAGAGGGAGAGTCTCCTTGCAAGCCGGAGGCCACAATCCTAGGCATCATAACCACGCAAGTGACATCCTATCAGCTGTCAAGTCCTTCCCATAGTCAGGGGAGGGGCCCACACAGAGTGTGAACACTGGGGGAGGGGTAGACCATGGAGGCCACCATCACGGCGTCTGTCCCCACACCACACAGCCTTCTGGGATAATATTTATTTAGTGCTTTGATTTCACCCTTTGAAATGCTTTCCCACCGTAGGGTGTTTGGCTAATAATGCCGGGCGTTTACTGGCCATCTGCTATCTGCCTTTGGTGTCTCTGGTCGTAGCGGCCAGCACCATTCACCAAGCCTCTGACGATATGCCAGGTACTTCACTTGCATTTTTCCCTCATCGCCACCTTGACTGGAAGGTAAACTCATTCATTCATTCATTCCTATTCATTTGTTCATTCAAGAATGTTTACTGAGGGCCTGACGCGCTCTGTTCTGTGCTCCAGGATATAGTGTGAATAGACATGAGGCTCATCCTC